CACTGAACTTTATTCTTGAACGTTTTTGTAAATGTTTGAAAGAGTTAATTGTACAATATTCTATTTGTAATTGCAATTATAAAAGATTACTGTAGATAAAATAAATAACTAATATATATAAAAGATATGATAATTTCTCAAGTTATCAACCATCACTTTTGCAACCAATTCATTTTTTTAAAAAAATAAACTTAAAAAAAAAACAAAAAAAAAAATGAATTTCGATAATAATAATTATTTACAAAATTTTAAACCTTCGTTCCCCCCAAATATCTCGATAAAAGAATTTATTGACAAAAGAGTCAAAGCCAAAAATTTCAAAGCCGGTGGAATTAATGCATTTATTATTTATCGTGCTTCGTATGTAAAGGAGCTCAAGACTTCGACTGGTGACAAGATTTCTATGAGATATATTTCCAAATATATAAGCGAAATGTGGAATAAGGAGCCAATCGGTGTGAAAAATCATTACAGACAGCTTTCTTCCCAATTAGAAAACGAATTAACTGAAATTCGTAGAGAAAACCTTGTTTATATTGATAATAACGAAAGCAATTATAAGAAAAGAAGACGAACAACGAAAACGACTCAAAATCAAATCTCGATTTCAGAAGGAATTGTTTCCGAAGCTTTGGATGCAGTTTCTCTTGAAAAAATTAGAAAATTTGCAAGTAAATCTTTTAAATATATAGAATGTTATAGACAAGGATTAGATGAAAAACAAGCTGAATATGCCTTAAAAAAATACAAACATCATCGTATTATTTCAAGTAATATTTTGAAATTTTGCCGCTTATCGACAAAAGTGGTCGGTTTTAGATGACTCGCGCTGTGCTAGTTTATTTAAAGATTGATTATATATATATTTGCTTGATCATTAAATTATTCAAATAAATAAATCTACAAACTGTTATATTGCATCTAGTAGTCATCAAAAGAAAATTTTAAAAAGCATACATCAATTCTCAAGCTATTGTTATTATTAAAATAATGATGAATAAGCAAAGAACGTCCTAAAGATTATTACACAGTTTTATTGATGATGTATTTAATAGAATCATTCTCGCGCTTAGTTTTTCAAATTTTCTTTGTATTATAAATCTCTACAATTTATATTAACAAAAATCACAATATATGCTAAATAACTATGCAT